ATAATAATAATAATAATAATAATAATAATAATATAACTATCTATACTTTAATTATACACATCATCTTAGGCACATAGTTTTACGCCGCCATCCTTCCTCCATGTAGCTAAATGTCTTTTTGTTCGGAATAATACCAACCCTCCTCCGCCCAAATTTGTTTCCAGTGCACCAGTATGTAATTGTAGATTTCGTTAAGCAACTACAAAATCCATGGTCAGGTCGCTTCCTTTCCTGGTAAAGAACCTCAAAGCGTTCGTTCTGAGTCACAGTAAAATGGTTCTTCCAGTCACCAGCTTTTACTGTAAAATAACACATTAAACAGAATCGAAAGGTAAAGCAAACAAAGTAAACTGTGTTTTCACCCTTAAGTTATTGGAATATACCAGTAATGAGTTGCAAAAATTAAAGATATACTCCCCTTTCAAAAAAGGGTCGTTCCCACTACAAAATGCGTAAAATGACATAGAAAAACAAGTCATAAAACAGTCCCTTTTTTTAAACTTAACTTCTGGAATGATTTTTTCCACTACAACCAGTGACTAAACTGACCATAAAAAAACAAAATCGTATCTTAGTGTTTTGCACAGTATCCTTTGAATCGAAAACGCACCTAACGCGTCTGAGCATGGAGTCAAAAAGGTTCTATATTGTTTGCGGAGTGATGGCGTTCCACCTACAAATGCAAAGATAATATAAGATAATTTCTGTTTGCAGGGTTATCCCTCAGCAATCCTCTCCCGAGTATGCCCCATGCATTTTGAAGGTTGTTCAGATCTGGGGATTGCGTTGGCCAGTGGAGGGTCTGATACTGGTTTGCATATGACCAGCCTTCTGCTAAAATGGCTATATGGGGAGTGGCATTATTATGATGAACTATAACTGGGTGGTCATGCTCCCAGATTCATTCTTGACGTATCCTTTCGAGTGATGTATTGCTCTGCATAAGGATCCCACTTTTTTAAGTAAGGGAGTTTACATGTAGTACTGAGGTAGGAATGAAGAACTGACCGTTTAAATTATTTGTTTTCAGCACTCAGATGATTAATTGACGAGCAACATACCTAACATGTATGTAGTTAAAGCCTAGATTATATTTGCCATGCGATGTCCGTACGGTGCTCGTATACTGCCCCAAATCCCTTTTCGTGCGTCGTCTGTACGGAGACAAGCGGTGGCCTTGAGAATTCGTACGACATCGTACGAATTCAAGTAATTTTGTAATGCTAATACTTTGGACAATTTTTTTGAAATCGTAAACTGGTAGGCCGTAGCGTTATCGTAGATGGGATAGCACAGTTCCTGTACGGGCAATGTTCGGTGGACTTTCGGTGATATTGATACAGGTTGAACCTGTTCTTGATCCCATTCTCTTCCACCTCTGTTTTAAGAGGCATAGCAAAAGTAAAGAAATCAGAGTAATTCATTTTTATGTATTTAAAGTCTGGCAACATGGGGGCTTAAAACCGTAGGGGGCTGTACAGACAACGTATCGATCTTCAAGGAAGCCGCACAAAAGGCGTGCGGCAACAGCACTGAGACTGAAAGGGCTACGTGTGATTACTCTTCAACCAACAACCGATTTTTCGTTACGCGACCTCTAGGTCATGTCGGAGAAATGACATGGTATCCGTATGTAAAGCCTCGGTCACAACCGGCCGTACGGGCTCTTACGGGCTGTTTGCGTCCAAATTTTGGGCAGAATCTCACTTCCCACGCAAGTCCTTCTTACGAAATTTCGAGTTCGCAGACACGTGCGGAGGATGTTGGTCATGTCCAAAAGATTCTACGAATAGCCTGCGAACAGCGAGGCCGTAAGCGTAATTTGCTTCCCTCGCACGGAGTTAGCAAGAGAGACGCGCGTTGTGCAAGACGCACGTCGCAAGCAATGAAGGAGCAAGTGCCCTTTGCGTGTTGAGTAAGGTGCACGCTCTCACAACTAACGAACATAGTCGAGGGCACACCGGGAATGCGTCGCACGTGCGTCACCCCCACGTCTGGTGTATAAAAGGCTTGCTCACGACGCACGCTCGTGTCTTTACAATGAACGTCGACTGTGTAACGTGTACAACAATTTTCAAAATTTTCAAATTTTTGCTCAATTTAGTTTCTAATATGCCTCCAAAAGGCAAGAGAAAGAAGCTTACATAGTAGAAAAAAGGGAGGAGGAAGAAGAAAGAAGAGGAGAACAGGAAGCAAAATTGAAGTACGCCGTCAGTACGTCACCACAAACGTGTGAAGCAAAACTGACGCAAACGGGCACTACTTTCGCCGTGCGTTGCATTCCCTTCGTAAGTGGTGAGTGTGTGCCACGTACACAGGAAGCAAAACAAACTCAATAAATCATTTAATGAGTACAATTTCCACGGCCATCGCTCCTTGCAATTAGCGTCCCTGCTTGAAAGGACATCTCATGTGGCCCTTGCGACTCGCAAGGCAGACTCTCCTCTACCTCCACGACCTCCACGGCCTCCGCAGCACCCAAAAATCGCAGGGGACGTACAATCCTGAAATTCGTGCGTCCGGTTGTGACCGAGGCTTAATGCAGACGTACTCGCCGTAGCACCTAGCTACCTACGATGGAAAAAAATCGTACGGAAAACCGTTTACGTATGGTAAATGAAATCTAGGCTTTAGAGATTTTTTCTGGTTACACATAAATTCTGTTACTGTAAATTTCTACTTTAAGTTTCCAACCTTTTCTATATATTCCAGGAACCGTGTCGCGCCACATTCTTTCCTCCGACTTGGTGTGTTTTTCACCTTCAGGACCCGCCACCTCTTTTGATTGTTTGGCTTTTTTCATGTGATTAAAACTGCATATCTCTGAAATTGCTTCACAGAGCTTATGGTCGATAGTTTTCCTGAGGAATTCGGCAATTTTAAGTACGTGACTCGCTGGATCATGATTAAAAATTTACACACTTAAAATTATTTATCCCTTTTTATCATATCTTTGGAAAAAATGAATTAAATTTACCAGTCTCCATCTCCATCACGAGAATGTCCCAGGAATTACAACCCCAAAAAAATTACAGGAAATAAACGCCTTTTCTATATAAAGGTTTCACGTTCAAAGTTTCTGTGGAAAAAGGAACAACTAGCTCAACACAGATTATTGTATACAGCATTATATTATATTATATTATATTAGTAGTGGATTTGCTACCCCCAATAGGCTCAATAGTCGAACCCTGCGATGTTCTTTCCAGTAAACTTTTTTTACAGAAATGCATTCCTTATGCATTCATTATGTTCGTTTTGCTTGAAGGTGAGCAAAAGCTGAATTTGCTGGGTTTTTTTAATCGTTATTTTATTGAAAACTAGTTATGTCAAGTTAGTATCTTTACTTCAGGTTCTCAAACCAGGGGTTTGCCCTAACAGAACGCATGCTATTTTGTCAGTATTAACCTTTTGTAGGATAGCCACGTGGTCTCTAACTAAAGCTGCAAGTGCTTAAGGTCACCTTCAGAAGTTATTGTGGTAGGATACTGACAAATGCGAAACATTTCCAACATTGGCTAGATCATTGAAGGATGAACCATCACCCAGACCGTCTCAATAGCACCAGTTGCTCAAGTGCTTCTCGTTGCTGTGCTCTCGATGACAAGGCTTGTAGCGGCACACGCTGCAGTTTCAAGCCTACCCAACTACCAGACTCGGGACCGAATGATCCCGAATTCACCGGTAGATCGGACCACACTACCCGATAATGAGGTGCACGATTGTCCAGAATGTTATCTGACCCAGAATTAAAGACTAATTGTCACGTTTTGCCTGAGGTATCAGTTGTAAATTTTTTATCTAAGAGTAGCGTTGGCGGACATATTTCTTTTGTATGATAAGATAACCAGTCTGTTTTATTTTACTGCCTGCTTTGACTGCAGTTTGTTCTTTTTTACTTAGATACATGTACTTCATTCATTCAAGGTCTTTTTCAGTTGCAAACGCTGATGGCATACCTTTAACTCTTTTAACCAGAACTGCTGTTCTTATCATCAATTTCATTCAATTTACGATCATCTGAGGGTAATTCAAACCAAGGACGAAACTGTTACAGATAGAGTAAATATTGTACAGTTCACAATACATGTACATGTATACTGTATCTGTATCCGGTTGTTGCTGTTTACAGTCTTTGCACACTGGATAAGGAATACCAAAATGTTTCACTTTCAGTATAATCTTTAGTATTGCCCGATAAACAATTCATTTCAACTAGAAAATCTGATCCAAAATTAATTCTAAAATTGTTAATTTGCGTTTTGAAATTTTGAAAAATAGATGAAGATGTACTTATTTTCCTTTGAAGATATACTTATTTTCCTTAGTCTTAGGCAAAAACAGCAAGAGGTATATGCTATCATCTATTCAGCGCTTAATAACAACAATGCTACCGTTTTCCATTCCAACATGGAAATTTAAATATATTGTCTTTATTGATGTCTTGGAATATTTCCCTTCAAGACAAATCACCTTTCATCTTTCGCTGTTTTTCAGTTATACATGTATAACAGTTTAATAGTTATATAACTCCATTTCTTCAGCATTCATAAATTTATGGTTGTTCTTGCTCTAACTTATGGACCAAATACTTAAGGGTATATAATTCATTAAGGGTATATAATTCATTCACTATAGCAAAATAACTTTCGATATGAGAAATCCATTTCCTTGTAAAAAGGGCGTAAAGAATCGTTCAAAGGGATAATAACTCTTCATATGAAATCTATATTTCACAGTAAAAACATTGTAAACAACTCATAGAAATATAATATATTCTGTTTTACCACAATAACGGCTGTTATAGCTATTATTCTGATCTCTGAGCTTGTCATCAGACCACGTGATCTCTCTAGATGGCTATACTCTGTAATAATATCTTAAGAGATTATAACATAAAACCAAACTTTTTAGAAAAAAACAGGGACTAACTTTGAATGTAGAAATGGATTCGTTAACCCTTGGTTAGTATGGGAAAATTGTTGTTTACTCCGGGAAAATTCATTTTTTTTGGCCAAAACGAGCAGTTATTATCCCTTTAAGTTAGCAAACAATGGTCATTTACGGTAGTGTCAAAAAGAATGCGATAGGTGAGACACGTGTAACAACTCTGATGGGTATCATCTCTCCCACCATGTAACATTCGCAGAGACGGCTAAAACAATAAATCTGTTGATACCCCTTCTTCCTTTATAAGTACCGTTTTCCATTATTTGTTTCATGCATTCGTATATGATATAGACACGTATAATATCTAGAATTTTTTATTCTTATTTCAAAAATGCCCTTCGATGTACTGGATATTCTTATTTCAATACAATTTATTTTGAATCCACATGGTTATATTTCCACATGGTTATATCCCCGTTCTATTCTTGAACAGCTTGACTTGCTGATATTGTTATAAAAGTACATTTTTTTAAATTATGTTCTTCTGTACACAATTCCTAATAAGTATTCAAAATATGTGTTCGTTGGTCGATAGTCCAGTCAAATTATCTCCAATGTGCTCCTTTATCCCCCCTCCCAGCAATTTGTATTAATTTTTTCTCAGAATGGTTTCCCCCCAGCCTTACCCTGCACCTGAAATTTGTTGTCTGTGTGGTGTTAGTATGTAATTTAAGATTCCCTAAATTTTTTAGTCATTAATCAATTTCAAAAGCCACGGTCAGATCACTTCCTTTCATCTGTTCTTGGTACAGAGCATCAAAGCGTTCGTTTTGAGCCACAGTGAAATGGTTCTTCCAGTCACCAACTTTTCCTAGAAAATAACATAACAGGATCGAGGGCTATTGCAAACAAGGTAAATGTTAACCTGCGGTAAAGTGGAAATAACACTGTCTATGAGTTGTAAAAAATGGAGCTACTTCATGCACTATTGGAAGAATGGAGAACTAACCTTAAACATGTTAAACTGTCTATTCAGAATTCAGATAATAAAATAACGAACAACATTTATGTTACATATAGTTAATAAATTATTTATAAAGTTAGTTATAAATTTCCTCACACTGTAGATTTCCTTCTTTCTAACCTTTTCTATACATCCCATGAGCTGCGTCGCGCCACACTTTTTCCTCCGGCTTAGCGTGTTTTTCACCTTCAGGTCCCGCCACTCTGCTTGTTTGCTTGGCTTTTTTCATGTGATCAAAACTGCATTTTTCTGCGATTGCTTCACAGAGTTTCTGGTCGATGGGTTTCCCGAGGAATTCGGCAATTTTGCGCACGTGACCCACTGGATCCTGCAAAAAATATAAACACTGTCAATATTATCCCTTTTAATCGTATCTATGGAAAGGAATGAGTTAAATTCACCAGTCTCCATCTCCATAGTATGCTTGGATTATTTGGATATGTTTGGATTTCACCTATAAAAATGAAATTAAAAACAAAGGAAAAAACCTCACCTTTAGCATTTCTTCATATTTTAAAGCAAGAACTGTATCCGTGTGCTGCTTGGCATATTCCCAGAATGCTTTATAGTAATACATCCAATTATCATAGCACTCTAAGATAATAGAAAACAAATAATACGATGATGAACGCAGTTCTATCTTTGATTATAAATAAACTGAACTTCATTTAACACACATTTAATGGATACGTTCGATTTGAGATTAGAAGACTATTTTTAACTCCAGCTAGAGTTCAGAGAAAAGTGAAATCTCCGGGGTTTTTAGCCTTTACAGGTATATCTACGGTAGCAAAATGTCTTACGGGGTTTCAATTTCTCTCAACTTTATACGTCATATAACAGATGCTTATTGTTATTGTCTTCTTTACTTTTCTTTTCTTCTTTGCTTTAGATCATAATAAAAGTAAATGGAGATTTGGAAGTTTTTTTGCTCCTGTGTTTTACTACATGTAACAGCAGTAGCCTATTTGTAACGATGCTAATTTAACTTAATCCATTAAAACGCATGACCACTCACTTTCGTACTCCATCAGTTGCGGTATAAGTTCGAAAAATCCATTCCACGTTCCTTCATAGTTCTTCCTCTTCATGCCCGACATGTGATAGTACAGAGAGACATAAGCATCTTTAGGATTACGGATAACGAGGATGATTTTGTTTTTCTTAGTAAACACGTCTTTCGGGATCCATTCTAACGGGAGGTGGGTATTTAGCACACGTGGGAAAGGTTTGGAGTCCAATGAAGCCAGGTCCTCATGTTCTACGAAATAATCTTCTTTTGGCACTGGGATTGTTTCCGCCTTACCGTTGATGACCATAGACGCAACCTCCCATATCCAGTGAGTGCCTAAAAACAAAATTATTTACAAGCAGCGTTAAAATTGAAACTTCTGTCTGGTGGTTTCAGGGGAGAGCGGTACGTTGGAGACAGGCCAGCCAGGCAGTTGGAGACAGGCCAGGCAGGCAGGCAGACAGACAGCCAGGAGGAGCTAGGGTAGACTGGTGATTGCAGCTGGGGGACTTTGGTGTAAGGCCAGTCAGGCAAAAGGATGGATGGGTGGATACAGGAGGGAAGGTTGGTAGACGGAAAAGATCTCATTACAACCACCACATGGCTGGCAGACAGACAGCAGGCATGCAGATAGCGGGCAGACAGACAGCAGGCATGCAGACAGTGGGCAGACAGACAACAGGCATGCAGATAGCGGACAGACAGACAGCAGGCATGCAGACAGTGAGCAGACAGACAGCAGGCATGCAGACAGTGGGCAGACAGACAACAGGCATGCAGATAGCGGACAGACAGACAGCAGGCATGCAGACAGTGAGCAGACAGACAGCAGGCATGCAGACTGCGGGCAGACAGACAGCAGACTGGCGTACAGTGAATAATTCAGACGGCAGCTTGTAGACAGACAAGAAAACTACCGAAGAAGGCGGACAGATGGACGGACATACCAATCTCAATGACCTACTTAGATGCAAGCATGCAAGCACACCTAATCCACCTTTTCACGAGCGGGCAATGAAAAGGCTTAAGATGATCAAGATAGAGCATCACCAGTTGCATATCATTAAATATAATAAAATTCGAAGCAAAGAGAATAGGCCTATAGGGGCCTATGGCCTGGCAGTTCGATACAGATCAAGACATTAACAAAAATATCTCAAAAATCCAAAAGATAATTCATTTTCTTAGAATGACGGCAAAGACAAGGAAAGATGTATAGTAAACTGATTTTAAAAATTAATATTCAGTTATAGTTGTCCTATGTCGGACTGATTACCGCATTTCGGAAAGCTGAAAACCCAAATGTCTTCCTCTCGGGCAACAAAATTGGGTAGATTTCGCATTCGCTGTACCATATTTGGAATTGCGGGGAGCCCAACCAAACCCTCGAACTGCTTCCATAAAAATGGCAGGCCATGTCCGTCGATCATCTCGAATATAGAGTCCTTCGTGTCTTTTTCTAGGTCATTTAACCCGGTGAGAACAAGCATGTCGGCCATGTTGTACTCTACTGATATTTCAAGTCATACCAGTGCAGTTTCTTGTAGGGGGCCTTGTTGTTATTTTTTGTGACCTACTTTAAGTGCACTTGGTAGAGGCTGAGACAAGAGTCCGTGCTCGCGAATGACCACACACATGCACACGCACACACACACACACTACATTACTGCGCTTCAATCAATTAGTAAATATTAACTGAGTTCACAATAAAGTCATAAAACTCCGACTGAATGTGATTTATATGTCTTTCGAGTAATGGAAACAAGAGTTACACGTAATTATGACGTTTCCACGAAAAAAACCTTCATGGACACAGTGAAAAGTGTATAATTTTTTAGTGAACTGTGTCAGTTGCACAGACTTCTTCAAGTTTGGACGCACTATTGTGACATTGTATTGTAGTATTTGTGACCTTCCAATAACTAGGTCTCCTTTTATGCCTGCAGGTGGGCCTACCTGTGTGTCACAACGTTATCCCTCTGTGAACATTTCCATCTGCTGGCGTAAATTAAACTATTCCCAGTTTGAATTGGACAAATTAATTCTGCGTGGACCATTAAACACATACGGCCGATTTCATAAAGGAGGTTTAAGTAAACCTAGTTTAAGGCTAAAACCTAGTCTAGCAAAACCTGGTCTAACTCAAGACCTAAATTGCATTTCACTAACAGTGTAGGAAAGCCAGAAAACCAGGTTTAGCTAAACCAGTTTTAACTTGTCCTTGACCTCCTCTTGAATGTAACAGGATTACATAGACAAAGAAATCACTGAACTGTGTCAATCAGGTAGGCGTAAATGAACAGATGACACACACTAGCGTTGAAGCAGATAAGCTGTGTAGCTCATATGGGAAAAAAACTTTGGAAGTAAAGAGCACGTGAAAATGAGCCGAAAGAGAGCGGATAATTTTTCTGCTGAAGAAAAGGGATACATCTCAGAACTAATAAAGGAGAAGTCCAACAGCATTGAATCAAAGAAAGCTCCGGTGAAATGCTGCGATTTCTCAATGTATAGGGTGCTAACCGATCCTCTATCAGTGCTATGACCTCACGTGCTATTTCTTCAGAAATTCTGAACCTGATTTTGAAATCTTGTTCATCATAGAAATCAAAATAATTAACCCTGGCTCGAAAAATGCGTCGGCGACGCTCGGGGCGTCTTCTTGCGTCCAAATTGTTAAGTGCTCAAATATCACGCAAGTCTACGTCAGTCATCTTTTTTCCAAGCTACAGAGTTAAACCTGGGTCTGACCAGGTTTATTTTTAGACTTGGTCCGAGTCCATAATCCGGGTATCAAAAACTTAGACCTCAATTATGAAACACAAACCTGTCTAGACCAGGTTTAGAATGATGTTAAGCCAGGTTTTACTAGACCACTGGTCCAATACTAAAACCTCCTTTATGAAATGCAGGCAATCCCTAAACCTGGTGTAAACTCACTTTAGACCAGGTTTAACTTTAAACCTCCTTTATGAAATCGGCCGATATAGTCTAACAGTTATCAGCGTTCATGGAAGAACTACATGGGATCTTACCACATTTGGCCATGGCGCAGACCCATACATCATCAGCACGTGCGATTAAATCTGATAGCTTCCTCAAACGCTGCGTCAGGTTCGGAAAGCCGTGAATTCCGACCAAATCACCAAACTGCTTCCACTGAAATTGAAGCCCGTTTCCGTCGGTCAGTTCAAAAATAGTGTCCTCCTCCTGCTCCTCAGCCATCTTGTCAAAGTCCAGTCTCAATTAAGCTGATTATTTTTATCACCTCAGGTTATCGTTACAGTCAACATTTCAGTTGCATAATGGTATAAAGTCCGTAATTGTATACAGTCTCACCTTATTATTATTTATTACATATAATCACAGTGATTTACACACGATTTTTTTCCATATTATGTTGTTCTCAAACTCACCATTTGACCAGAGTAAAGGCATAACCATAACACACAAAGAACACTAACGAGATAGCGTTCATAAAGCACAGCACAGATTAAATAACAGTAGAATATAAATCAGAACGAACGAACTTGGCTAAGTAATATCAGATGTAAAAAAATAAGTAAGTACATGGATATGCATGTAAAGAATTATTGATCCTGGAGCTTTTTTTTCAGCGGCATTGCTCAACCACGAATTTGATTTTTAATCAAGTTGTTCCTTTATTCAATTCATCTCAGATTTACTCCAATTTATCTTCAGAACTTTCTTAAAAGCATATCATCTAGCAAAATAATGGATTTTGTGATGCAAATGTGTAATTCGACTGGATTGTATACTTAATAAAGAACTACAAGCTATATTCATACCGACAGATAATGCTAAAGGAGACTTTTTTCTTTTTTACCTTTTCAGCGATAGCGTTAAAAAAGGAAACAAAAAGAAAAAAATTGACTAGTCAACTGTCGTTAATCAGCTTCGTAGTCAACAGTCAGGTCACATCCTTTCATCTGTTCCTGGTAAAGTGCATCAAAGCGTTCGTTCTGAGCCACAGTGAAATGGTTCTTCCAGTCCCCAACTTTTCCTAAAAAAATGATATGTATATATTGCAGCAGTAGTAATTGCCAAGAAAACAAATATATATATATATATATATATATATATATATATATATATATATATATATATATATATGTCTTTGTGGAAGTAAATTGAAGCTGAGATTCAATAATCACATGAATCATTTACTGAACTTTATATATATATTTAAATCATTTACAAATAAAAATATTGTACCAAACTGAACTTTATATATATATA